AAAATTGGTTTGAGTCCCGCCTAAAGTGATGGTGAAACGAGTTTATGTTGGGTCGAAACCGCAGTCCACTTCTGCCTGGATGAGCATACCTTTTTGGAGTGAGGCCAGGTGGAATTGAAAAAACGTCATTCGATTGTGGCGAAATTCACCTACCAGTCCTTCATCACCAACGAAGTGGAGTTAATACGTCTTCTACAGATTGGACTTGCTCCATTCGTCGTAATATTGGGCCAATATTTGCAGACTAGTGACGCCAGTCGAAAGCGCATAGTTGCCGGAAAGTCGCTATACCTTGACCCAACCCTCATCATGCCTCGCCTACCGATCTGACTCAAACCAACTCATGTTCTGATTAAATAGTTGCCAGACTTTCATCATTTGGATGGTAACCTCGATTGCCCATAAAAATGTTTTCAAAACTTAATTATTTCATTACGAAAGGGGTCAGACGAAAGTGCAGGGCTGAAGAAGCACACAAAGTGTGGGTACAGAAGGACTCGGACAATGTGATGGCCATTTGGGAACTAGGCCGCCTGACACATGAACCACCAGTTACACCTTTTGGAGCAGCAGTGGTCGTTCGAAAAGCAGGGGCTTCTGACGCTGAGACACGTTTTGCAGAGTCCGGAGCCAAACGCCTCAAGTTGACAAAAGTATCCGTCACAGCAGCTGTTGAAAATGGTACCGTCGCATTTCTTGTTTAAGCAGGCCGCTTCGATGGAGTAGAAGAAAGAAAGGGCGGGAAGAAGAGGAAAAGAGAAAGTGAAGAGCATTAGGAAAGTGTGATTTTTAGCTGATTCCAAAGTGCATCATACCCTTGGTAGGCTTTCTCATTCCCGATAACTTAAGACTTTCGAATTACATGAACCCAACTCAAAGGTTTGGTCCTTCCCCCCCTCTTGAGCCTATTAACACACACAAACACCTTCACCCCCACAAGTGTGTGTGCTTGCATAACCATTTTTCTGATTACTTTACCCACCGATGGAACCTGATCTACACAAAATCATGTACATGTGGTATATTCACCCTCCTCCGTTTGGGGTGCTAAGAGTACCTCGTGGGTAGTTGAGTTTTCCCACACTGACATGAGTAAATACGACTTTTTAATTGAATTTCACATGGCTTCACTTCTCCAAAAGGCATTCCTATTCAGAGTGGAACTCAGTTTCGATCTCGTCTAGGTCTATTCAACAGCCGCAACGGGCCTCGAACCATGACACGTCAACTACCACATCTCATGGATGTGATGTGACGCAAATATGAAAAATAGTTGATTGCCATAGGAGATACCACTTTGTCTCATCGATCATCCCACCACAGTATGTGATGTAGGAAAATGTGTGTAATTCCTTGAAATGCACATCTGCTCTGTGATCCAAGAGCACTCGGGCAATGTGGCGTAGTGGTTAATGCGACGAGATTATGCGTTGCACTGGCATGGTTCGACTCCCGCCCCGGCTGTTGCTAAGACCTGTTGTTGGCGAAGTGGAAACTGTAGACAACATCGTTCAGAAAACGTTATGATGGCGCCTTGCGTGATTTTGTCTCGATTAGCCTTTTTCTTCTTGGGAAGCATCTCCCGTCGACACGATGATCCGAAGCCGGCGTCATTTGTTGAGAATTGGGTGACATTTCTGGTTGGCAATCTCCTTTTGCACTCAACAACGACTGGCTGTCA